CTAATTCGCATATCATGATATCATACAACGGTGGCAAACATGGAATTTAGAATATTCATGAAATGTGTACAGACAGAAAATACAAATCACTGGGACAAGAACACACAAACAGAGCTCCCAATGTAGCATGCCTAACGTCAGGGGAAATAGTAAAAAGTGCAAATCATTACTACCGTAGCGCCTAAAGGGTTAATCATGAATTGAAAAAAAAAAGGAAGTGTACGTTAGAAATTATTTTCATTGAACAATTGTCTGCAGATTTTGTGATGCTGTGCAGTTTTTTTTTTTCCCTTTCATCAAAGAAGGTTGGAGGTTTGGGGGAAATAAAATGAAAAGTGTTTTGGTGGAGTGATGAAAGAAGGCTGATGTCACTGCGGGGATATCCACAGTCAAAGCAGAAGCAGACAAATGTGTAAGAGGTCCACAGCCTTCTGCCGTAAAAGTATTTACTTGTGAGATTGAGGATGTGATTGAGAAAGGCTTTCCATGACAAGCATTGAATAGTCTATAGTTCATAGACGAGGCTTTTACCTGGTGTAACAGAGAGAGAGAGAGAGAGGCAACATAAACCCAAGCATCTGTCATGTTTAATGCTTTTATATGTGGCCCTTTTATAGGACCCTAATGTACACCCACTAAGCCCTCTAGTTTGGGGTTAGATACAATGTATTGCCAAAGTATCTGAACATTTGCACATTTTAATCATGCTTACGGCCCTCCACATGCATAAATTCACAGGTATCTATTACTTTGCTGTGGGTCTTTCAATTTAGTGCAAAATAAAACAATTTAAACATGGTATAATGTGCAGGGGATCTAACTATACTTGGAATCTGCTACTTATACCTATCTCTGTGGGACCTTTGTCTGAGAAATGGGCTGTAAATATAAAGGGTACTTTCCTACTCACGAAAAGACACCAACAACATGGATGAGAACTGATGGTAAATGCATTGATCACACATTCTTTGAGTAACTGAGAGAATAGAATATCTTAAAATTGCTGTTGTTCTTGATGGACATGTATTTTGCAGTACAAAATTCATATTTCTTTTCATCCAAGCTGGAAGCCTTGCGTTAACTCTATCACTATTGTGTTGTGATTGGGGTGACCCTTCAAACTGCTGCTGTGATGCTGTCATTATTTTGCATGTGCATTTGTAATTGGCTGAAGAGTAATTATCAACCCACACTCATGCCTATTGGCTAAGGTGATTAATGAGATAAATTCATTTAACCAGTAAATGCCCTTAATGGTCTTTTTAGTGCAGAGCTGGTGTAAAAGTTGTGGAATCAATTAGACAGAAGTGCCTTGGGCTCTTCTGCTGCGGTGGTGTGTGAGGGAGACATGAGCGATGGCTGCTGTGACAGTTGTGTGTTCAGCGGACTGTGCCAAGTTATCACTGAGCGGATCAGGAAGTCCATACAAACGGCTCCTAATTTTATCTGACAGGTTACAGAAGAGGCTTATATCTTATCTGACCTGAGCTTACTGTAAATGTTTGGTTTGATCTGGTGGCTACTATAAGGACATGAAGAACTCACAGCTGCGATGAGGACTGCAGATGTTTAGATAAGGCTTGATGGACTATCTTCTAGGGCTGGGCGATATGGCTGAAAACTATATCACGATATAAGTCATTCATATCGGTCGATAACGATATATATTGAGGTTTTTTTTTAACCTAAATAAATATATTTGTCGTGTGGGCTAACCAACCTTAGCAGCCTTGTTTACAGTCACGGGGCGATGAGGCTGGAGGAATATGTTCACACTGTGTCCCTCGTTGTTAGTCCTGGTTTAATCCTGGTTTTTTTATTCCTGGTTTAGCTCCTGGTTTAGCTGTTTGAGGGTCTTGTGTCCCCGTGACCGCTCCGTGCGGCTCTCTGTGCCGCACATGCTTCCCGAGGAAAAAGTTAATCTCTTGCTTTCGCCGAATACATCGGGTCTGTCCACTGCCTCTTCCGCGCACGTACGAGCATAACCATTGACACGGCATTGAAACACGAGCTATAGATCCATGGACGCTACGCATGCTGCGGTTGTTGGTGTTTATGCATTTCCCAGAAAGTTTTGCGGTTCCTGCTCGGCTGTTATTGGTCGAGAAGCCTCTGCCTACATCCCCCACAATGCCATGCGCTTATGAGTTGGCTTTACTTCCGGTGTTTTCTTCCTGTTCTTCCTGACGGAGTTAAGTTAAACTATCGAACATTCTATCGACCCCATTGATATCGAACAAAAAAAATGGCATATCTTTTTTGTTTTAAGAAAATATATCGCTGCTTAAAGTAGGATTGGGAAAACGAGAAAATCTATTCCCGTAGAACAAATGTATAATAGTCTTGTATTAGTTCCAAGTTGTATTGGTCCCTGTAATGCAAATTTTTCCTCTGCATTAGACTCATCCTGCAATGCCACTTGGGCCTCTGGCAGGGATAGCTTTTTCAGAGTTAGTAAGTAAGTAAGTTTTTATTTATATACCGCCTTTTCACTGCAGATCTGAGTCTCAAAGCGGTTTACAATTGATAATTTTTTTTGGGCATTTGTCTCTCACTCCACACAGAGATGGGAGCGGGGCCAGTACAGGAGGCGCATGCCAGAACTATTGGACATATTTTTAGTGGTAGGGGAAACCGGAGTACCCGGAGGAAACCTACGCAGACACGGGGAGAACATGCAAACTCCACTCAGAAAGGCCCTGGTCCGACCGGGATTCGAACCCAGGACCTTCTTGCTGAGAGACGAGAGTGCTATCCACTCAGCCACCGTGCCGCCCGGCACGTTGTAGGATTACAACAGTCTAACAGGGAATTTACACAGTTGGCGTTTACTGCGCGCAACATTATTTGGCTGTATCTACACTGGCCGTGCAGGTCCACGGCTTCTGATGCTCTCCCTGTGTAGTCTATGGAGAAGTGTAGAGGACAGTACGGGCCAGAGGACTGATGTAGAGCAACACAAATCGCCTAATTTACAATTGATTTCTAATTTTGTGCGCGCAGCAACGCGTCTCCCAGTAAAATCACATGTGAAACATGATTTTTATAGTGACCCATGGATTAAGATCACATCTACACACACACAAGACTTGTATCGAAACATCAGCAGGAGGAGCAGCAGGTTTTACAGTGATTCTGGACATTGTTTTTTCTTTCTTTCATAAAGTCTCGCGTCTGGCCAAACCAGCGCACAGAGACCATGAAGACGCGTTTCTGCGCGCACAAAATTAGAAATCAATCGTAAATTAAGAGCAGCCTCGCCTTAATATGTCCGTCATGCGTGCGTAAAACACTAGTAGTGTAAATATCCCCATTGGTTAACATGGAAAAAAGTTACTCACGTCTGCTGCGCGTATAACGCGTACGGGCTGTAATGCGTTATGTGTAAATTAGCAGTTAGATATTATTTAGCTAGGAGGTAGTAATTTATTGTATAGCACCTTTCAAAGCCACCCATACAATTGGATTGTTTAGGCATTTTTCCTCTCACAGTGATTGAAATGAGGTTATATAGCTAGGGGAAAACTTGCAGGGAACTTATGTAATCAAAGGGAGAACATGCAAACTCCATATGGAAAAGGTCCTGTTTGGAGGTCAAACCAAGGCCCTCCGATTCTACAATGGTTCAATTTGCAAATGTTGCGAAAGTGCAACAGTTCTTGTCACTGTGATATTATTGTAAACAATGGGTTGTTTATGGAGTTGAAGCTGAGCTGACCTCTCCATAAACCAGATTTTAAACATTTGTTTGCTGCATTAAATGTTTGCCTCTAGAGATATGTAAGCCCAATGTTATTCTGTAGAACAGCAGACAAAGCTGTAAGTACCCCATTGAGACAAGTTGTTAAAGACCCTTATGTGGTTTTCAATATATAAAACAAGGTCCAAAATTGCTTGCCAGTGCTTCTACAATATCTATTTTGTCAAGAATGAACGATTTGCAGATGGCAATATAAAGAATAAATCTAAAGCTAGAGCTGAACTGAAGAGAAATTGGTGGCATTTATCAGCTCCACACTAGACCATGCGTTGGGAGGTTTGTGCTGAAAAGCCAAACACAAGTGACATCATTTCAGACTTGTCGAGATTCTCTCTGTTGAAAATCCATCACTTGGGTACACTGTCTTCACTTCAAAATTCTTCAGAACTTTAGGTTCCATTGTTTATTGTTTTCCTCTTGCCTCAGTGTTTTCCTATAAACAACATAATTAGCAAAGTTTATTGTTTATCATTAACTAGGATATTGGGAAGATCCAAGAATCTTCCCAATGAGAACTCAAAGTGGTGGAACAACTTTAGTTTTTTATTTATTTATTTGCACACATTTACAATAGAGTATTTAAACATTTCACCTATACATTTTCAGTCGGAGTAATACATACTGTTTTCACTATTTAGTATGTTATTTCTGGAATCTCTCACACTCCTTTTATCCAATAAGCATCAATGTGTCTTTGAACTGTTTGAAATATCAATGATTGTCACTTGTTTGGCTGTGACTCCTGTGTCTCAAACTGTCTTTCGTCCCTTCCAAAATAATATTTCATCCACCAAGATTTATTGAGCTGAGGAAACTCGAACTGCTTTGCAATTTAATCTAATCAAAAACCAAAAGAATGATCTGGCATTTATCTCTTTGCTTTCCACCCCAAACTTCTGAGGTAACTTTTTATTAATTTGTGTACACCTGCGCTGCGTACGTGACCTTCCATGTCAAGGTTGAGACTTATAGAAAGACAACTTGGAAATTAGTCTTTTGGGCCAATAATAAGCTTCCAAAGAGATGAAGCACGTTGTGATCTCTGCTAAGGGAAGTTAGTTTGTTTAATTTAGGTGGGAAATTGACATAAGAGTGAGATGCCCACTCTCATTGACAGGCTAGAGACCGTTTCAAAGTTGAGAATCAGTCATGTCTCTTCAGTAATGTCATGATATTATCTGACTGTCTTTTCTTCTACTTTCCGTTTCTCTTGCAGAACCCTCTCCATTTCCAAGTGGCCATGCAGACTTTCGAGGCCCCCCCATCGCAGCTTCTCTACTCCCTACTCACGATGAACGGTTGGTGGGACATCAGCATCCTTCTCTGCCAAGACTGGAACATCCGCGACTTCCTCCTCCTCATCAAAAACAACACTCGCTTCCATGTGGGCACTCTGGTCAACCTTACATCCACTTCCTTGACCACACCTTTGGGTTTCTCCTCACCAGTGGCATCTTCGTTGTCTTCCGTGCCATATTTTGTCTCGTCGGCCACCGCTGCTGCTTCTTTCACGTCTTCCACGGCTTCACCGATCAAGTCTGATCCGCAGCAGGTCATCATGAAACTCTTGGACGGCCTGCGAGAAACGTCAACCACGACAACAGTGATGACTTTTGGGTGCGATATTCGGGAAGTGCGGAGGATTTGGACGGTCGCGGCGAAGATGATGCTGCCGGACTACCACTGGGTTCTGGGGGATAGTCAGAATGTGGCAGAGCTGAGGACAGAGGGGCTACCATTGGGATTACTAGCACATGGAGTGATGGGGTCGCCTTCATTGGATCATTACGTACAGGATTCGCTGGAGGTGGTAACTCGGGCGATCGGCAGTGCAGCCATGCAAAACCCAGCTTTGGCCCTAATACCTGGAACTACTAATTGTATGGATGTACTGCAAGCCAGCAATGGGAGCGCAGGGCAGTATTTGTCAAGGTAAGGTGGTTTTCATTGTTTAATACCTTCTCTTTTGTGGATTCGTTGTGGATAAACAGTAACAATTTGCTGATCAGATTCTAAAGGCTGATTTTAATTGTGTTGTTTGTTTTTAAGGCTTCAGTCAAACACAAGGGTTTTAACATCCCTTCATGGATATAGGTGGGGATAGGCTTATTTCCAGAAGAGTAACACTTGAAACATGTACTTTATTTTGTTTTGTGAAAATGTTTTTTTTTATAGCAACTCAACCCATCAATTAACCAAAAATTTCAATAATTAATATCTGTTTTCATTTACAGATTAGCGACGTTTCAGCCATTTGCCTCATAAAGCCCCACGACTGAAATTTTGCTCTTCTGTATATACAAACATTGGTGTATCCAAGTACAGTGGGCAAGAATGTTCTTAAATGTATGTTGAGTGAAAAGTTACATCTCATTTACACAACAATATATCCCATTATGGCAGCATTGCTTTTTTTTTTCTAATGTATGTTGGCCTCATGTGGTACTGTGCTCTTTTATGTCACTTTTTGATTTTATCCATGGCTTCCTGGCTCTGACATTCCAATAATTGTGACTTACACTTTTTCCTGCCTTCCTATCTTTAAAGTATTCATGATTAAACATATCCGTAATGCACAGCAGAGCAGAATAACAAGGTTTTCTTTGAATCAGATCTGCCTCTTGGCTTGTCGTCCACCTCTCAGCGTGGTGTGTATGTTGGACCGTATTAGAACAAAGAAAGACTAAAAGAGGCTAAATGTGGGCTGTGCAACATTCAAAGGCATTTTTTCCTCAAATCACTGCCTCACTTTCCTGCATCACTGTGAACTGCAGATCACAAGACCCACTGTTTCGGAACAGCTCCTATTGATTGTCGACACATCAAGATGGTTCTGTGTCTGATGCCTCAACTTACTTACCTGCTTGAATGTAAATGGTTTCCTCAGAACTATCAACTTGAATAATGCATTTTTCGTGTGGTGTTCCTCTACCTGCTTTACTCCCACTGTGCCTTGAATGTTTCACTTTCTAGTATTCATTTATGTCAATTATGTTTACGTCCACTAACAACAACATTGTATTGTGGATATTTGAAAAACCACAACAAAGAAAGAGACATTAACTTTTTTGTTCGCTTTAAAAGTGGGGTATTGTGGCGTTACTCAGTATAGCATACCCGGGATGGCACTATGGAGCCATTGCTGGGGTGGATGCTTGATGAGCGTCTGGTCATCAGGCCTTTGCCCATTGGGGCCAAAAGGATGACGAGGAGCCCACCTTCCTTTGGGCTGAGGAAGTCATGTGATTCAGGTGCCCAGAGGACTGGGTGTGGTCTAAAGGCAACAACCGTGCCAACCCAGTCCATGCAGACAGCAGGCTAAGCTCTGGAGGAAGTTGAGAGATACCGACTAGAGGCCTCACCTCCATGGAATCTGGAACCCAACTCTCGAAAAGGGTTGTAATTTTGTTTCCCACAGGGAGAGGTGGAAAATTGGGGTGGGCTTACTCATTCAGTCGGCAAGTGAGATGTTTGGATGTACACAACAGTGAGAGACTCATGCCCCACCCTACTGCCATTGACTCAGTGGACCGCGTTCTCCTCCTTCAAGCTGCTGCGAAACAGCAGCTTGTTGCTGCAGTGGCAAGGTGTTGTCTGGGCGGCCATCTCCTAACCTGGTGGTGAACTCTGGTAGTGGGTGATGCAGCCAGGCTGAAGAAGGAGTCCTATGGAGCCAAGATAGATTGTGGGACTTTTGAGGCAGCTATTCGATTACCTGCAGACCTGTGATGAGTTTGGAGAACTTTAACTTCTTGAAAATCTGTTCCTTTGTTGTATTCTGAACAGGGAACAGTTTAGATGAAGTTGCTGTTCTGGTTTTCAAGGGCCCAAATATCTACAGACTTTTAGCTTTCTTTCTACCGATTCAGGCATTAAGCCTTTTCCCATCTGGTTATAGAATCAGATTCATTTTTATTGCCACGTAAGTAACAGGAGGTCACAGACTTGGATATTGCTTTGGCTCAGTGCAACAGTCAGAAAGAGATAATAAAAATAAGAATAAAAAACACTTCTAAAGAATAAATTTAAAATAGAGTTACAGTTATTATTTACAATATACAAGTGCACATGGTGCACACAATGTAAGGTGACAGCAGTACAGTTAAGTAAAGTGACGTATGATGGGCAGTAAAGTGACTTTATAAAGGGCGGGGGGACAGGTTAAGAAGTGTTCAAGAGTCCAACAGCAGAGGGGAAGAAACTGTTCTTGTGGCGGGAGGTTCTAGTCCTGATGGACCGCAGCCTCCTGCCTGAGGGGAGTGGTTGGAATAGTCCATGTGCAGGGAGAGAGGGGTCGGCTGTGATACGACCAGCCCGGCCTTGAGCTCGGGCGACGTATAGGTCCTGCAGCGATGGAAGGCTGCGGCCGATCACTTCCTCTGCAGAGCGCACAATGCGCTGTAGTCTCTGTTTGTCCCTGACTGTGGCTCCAGCGAACCACACGGTGACGGAGGTGGTGAGGATGGACTCGATGATGGCCGTGTAGAACTGCACCAACATCTGTGCAGGCAGCTTGGCTTTCCTGAGCCGCCGCAGGAAGTACATCCTCTGCTGGGGCTTCTTGATGAGGGAGCTGATGGTCGGCTCCCACTTGAGGTGATGGTGGTGCCCAGGAAACGGAAGGACTCCACAGAGGTGATGGGGGAGTCCATCACGGAGGGTGGGGGCGGGGGGACAGTGCTCTTCCTGAAGTCCACAATCATTTCCACTGTCTTCTGGGCGTTCAGCTCCAGGTTGTTACCACTGCACCAGGACACTAGCCGGTCCACCTCCCTCCTGTAGGCGGACTCATCGTTGTTGGAGATGAGTCCAATGAGGGTGGTGTCGTCCGCGAACTTGATCAGCTTCACGGAGTCGTGGCTGGAGGTGCAGTGGTTGGTGTACAGGGAGAAGAGCAGGGGAGAAAGAACACAGCCCTGTGGGGCTCCTGTATTTATAATCCGAGAGTCAGAGACATTCTTCCCCAGACGCACTCGCTGCTTCCTGTCCGTCAGGAAGTCAGTGATCCACCTGCAGGTGGAATCGGGCACGTTGAGCTGGGAGAGCTTGTCCTGGAGCAGGGATGGCAGGATTCTGTTGAAGGCAAAGCTGAAGTCCACGAACAGGACCCTGGCGTAGGTCCCCGGGGAGTCCAGGTGCTGTAGGATGTGGTGGAGGGCCAGGTTAATGGCGTCGTCTACAGATCTGTTGGCTCTGTAGGCGAACTGCAGGGGGTCCAGGAGGGGGGAGGTGAAGGACTTGAGATGGGAGAGAACCAGGCGTTCAAATGACTTCATGACGACAGACGTAAGTGCTACAGGTCTGTAGTCATTGAGTCCTGTGATCCTGAGCTTCTTCGGGACGGGACAATGATGGAGGATTTGAAGCAGGCCGGGACATGGCAGGACTGCAGAGAGGTGTTGAAAATGTCAGTGAACACAGGAGTAAGCTCACTGGCGCAGTATCTCAGAGTGGCCGGAGACACGTGGTCCGGGCCAGGAGCTTTGCGGGGGTGCAGCCTCAAGAAGAGTTGTTTAATCTCTTTAGAGGCTATTGTTAGGCTGGGGGCAGGGCTGATGGGTGGGTCGTTAGAGTAGTGGGGGGTGGGGGAGGGAGAGGTGTCAGGGGCAGCATCAAAGCGACTGAAAAATAAGTTCAGTTCGTCAGCTAGCTTGTGGTCGTCAGCACAGGGGGGGGGCTTTGGGTTTGTAGTTGGTGATCTCCCGTAGGCCCCTCCAGACAGAAGCAGTATCGTTGTTACCAAACTGCTCCTGTAGTCGTTCTCTGTGCCGGGACTTGGCTGCTTTCAGTTCTCTCCTGAACTGATATTTAGCTGCTTTGTAGCCGCTGCGGTCCCCCTCCCTGAAAGCAGACTCCTTTGCTTTCCTGAGCTGCCGGAGTTTAGCAGTGAACCAGGGTTTGTCTTTGTTATAGATGACCCTGGTCCTTGTTGGAATGATGCTATCCTCACAGAAGTGAATGTATGACGTCACAGTGTCCGTGTATTCATCCAAACTATCTGTGGCAGCTCTGAAAAGGTCCCAGTCTGTAGATTCCATGCATGCGCGCAGCTCTTCCACAGCTTCATCAGACCACACTTTGGAGCTCCTCACTGCAGGTTCCAAGAGCTTTAGTCTCTGTCTGTAAGCAGGAACCAGATGTATCATGGAGTGATCTGAGAAGCCGAGGGCTGGCTTGGGAACAGCGCGAAAAGCTCCGCGCACGGTGGTGTAACAGTGATCCAGAGTGTTCTCCTCTCTGGTCGGGCATTTGATAAACTGTCTGTATTTGGGTAATTCCTGGCTCAAGTTTCCCTTATTAAAATCCCCCAGGATAATAATCAGAGATTCCGGGTATAAACGTTCCATACACAGTACTTGCTCTGCGAGTGCGCGCTGAGCCTCGCGCGCGTCCGCGCATGGCGGTATGTAAACAGAGGCAAGAATGAATGAAACAATTTCACGAGGGGAGTAAAATGGTTTACAATGAATGAAAAGATATTCCAGAGCAGGAGAGCAGTGCTTGGAGATCACTGTCACATCGTTACACCAGTTTGTATTTACGTAGAAGCACAGTCCTCTGCCCCTGCTCTTCCCTGAGAGCGCACAATGGCGATCCGCGCGGAACAGCCCAAAACCCTGCAGTTCCAGAGCGCAGTCCGGGATCCGCTCATTTAGCCAGGTCTCAGTGAAGCAGAGGACACAGGATGTGGCGAAGTCCTTGTTTCTTCTCATGAGCAGGCCGAGTTCGTCCATCTTATTGCCCAGTGAGCGTACATTGGAGAGAAAAATGCCGGGGAGAGCCGTGCGCGCTCCTCTCCTCCTAAGACGCACGAGCAAGCCTCCGCGCTTTCCCCTTTTACGGGCCCACACTTTTTTGGCTTTAATCTCTTTGGCTTTATAGGCATTGTAGCCCACAGTGTTAGAATTTGGCCAGTGTTATCTTTCCAATTC